GTCATCCACATAATTCTCCACATTCATATGTGTCTGTTTCCTATGCACCAGAAGAAGGCACACTTGATGGAGATCCAGGTGAATAGGGCACTGTGGCTGAGAAGCTAGACTGGGCCCGAGAGATGCTGGAGCAGCAGGTGCCTGTGAACCAGGTGTTTGGGCAGGATAAGATCATTGATGTCATCGGGGTGACAAAAGGAAAAGGGTACAAAGGGGTGACCAGTCTTTGGCATACAAAGAAACTGCCCTGAAAAACACATTGAGGTCTGAGGTCTGTGCAAAGTTGCCTGTATTGAAGCCTGGCACCCTGCACGAGTAGCCTTCTCTGTGGCTCGAGATGGGCAGAAAGACTACCGTCACAGAACAGAGATATTAACAAGATTTTCAAGATTGGTCAAGGCACCCTCATCAAGGATGGTAAACTGATCAAGAACAACGAATCTACTGACTATGACCTATCTGACAAGAACATCAACCCACTGGGTGGCTTTGTTCCTTATGTGACCAATAACTTCATCAGACTCAATGGCTATGTGTGTGTGTGTGTGTGTGTGTGTGTGTGTGTGGGAGGGAACCAAGAAGAGAGTGCTTACTCTTCATTAAGTCCTTGCTGGTCCAAAGCAAACATCAGGCTCTGGAGAAGATTGACATGAAGTTCATTTGACACCACCTTCAAGTTTGGCCATGGTTGTTTCCAGATCATGGAGGAGAAGAAAGCATTCATGGGACCACTCAAGAAAGATTGCATTGCCACAAGGGAGGTGCTTGATTCCAGGATCACGTTGCACACACAGCAGGCAGGGAGCTCATCAAAATGTTTTCAGTAAGAAATAAAATTAAATAAATAAATAAACAAATAAATAAGAAATACTTAGAGAATTGTGTTGGGATTTTGATGGGGATTGTGTTAAATTTGTAGATTGCTTTTGGTAGGATGGTCATTTTCCTATGTTAATTTTGCCAATCAATGAGCAAGGGAGATCTCTCCATTTCTCTGAAATCTTTGATTTCTTTCTTCAGAGACTTGAAGTTACTGTCATACAGATCTTTCACTTGTTTGGTTAGTGTTACCCCAAGCTATTTTATGTTATTTTTGACTAGTTTGAAGGGTGTTATTTCCCTCATTTCTTTCTCAGCCCGTTTATCATTTGAATAAAGTAAGGCTACTAATTTATTTGAATCAATTTTATATCCAGTCACTTCGCTGAAGTTGTTTTTCAGCTGTAGAAGTTCTCTCTTAGAATTTTTGGACTGCCTATGTATACTACCGTCTCATCTACAAGTAGTGATACCTTGACTTCTTCTTTGTCAGTTTTTATCCCCCTGGATCTCCTTTAGTTGTCTTACTGCTCTAGCTAGAACCTCTAGGACTATATTGAATGGATATAGGGAGTGTGGGCATCCTTGTCTTGTTCCTGATTTTAGTGGGATTGCTTCAAGTATCTCTCCATTTAATTTGATATTGGCTATTGGTTTGCTGTAAATTGCTCATATTATGTTTCGGTATGGGCCTTGAATTCCTGATCTCTCCAATACTTTTAACAGGAAGTGATGTTGTATTTTTTTTCAGATGCATTTTCAGCATCTATGGAGATGATCATGTGATTTTTTCCATGTGAGTTTGTTTACATAGTAGATTATGTAAATGGATTTTTGTGGATTTTTTTATAAAGCATACTTGATTGTGGTGAATGATGGTTTTGATGGGTTCTTGCATTCTGTTTGTGAGAATCATACTGAGTATTTTTGCATCAATTTTCATAAGCAAAATTGGGATGAAGTTTTCTCTCTTTTTTTTTCTTGGTTCTTTGTGTGGCTTAAATATCAGTAATTTAGCTTCATAGAATGAATTAGGTAGTGTTCCTTCCGTTTTTATTTTATGGAATGGTTTGAGCAATGTTGGTAATAGGTCTTCTTTGAGGATCTGGTAGAATTCTACACTAAAGCCAACTGGCCCTGGGCTTTTGTTTTGGTTGGGAGGTTTTTAATGACTTCTTCAATTTCCATAGAGGATATGGGCTGTGGGACTGCGTAAGGGTATCCTGGGTCATGGTTGAGCAGGTGCCTAGAACCATGAGACTCTGCAGACTCTGTGTGTGATTCTGCGTGAGAACCGGCAGGAGTTTGGCACCCCCCCAGAACGCGGGATCCTGAAAAGCAGTCATGGTCTCCATAGAATTACATTGTTCAGTCACATAGGCCAGGCTATAGGCCTCAGGCCCTAGGGATTTACATACTAATGAAGGACAGAGGGCAGAGCAAATTAAACATGCCTCCCCCAGATCCTCCCCCAATCTTCCCCCTTTCTCCCTCCCTATATAACTCGGGACTGCCCTGAGTTCTGGGGGGTATGCCTAGATCCATCTACCATCCGCCATGACAATAAACCGTTTTGGAACCACGGACTTCCTCGCTGTGGCAGCCTCTAAAATTTTCCCCACAATGGGCCTGTTTAGATAGTTTACCTGCTCTTGATTTAACTTTGGAATGTGGTATCTGTCTAGAAAACCATCCATTTCATCTAGATTTTCCAGATTTATTGAGTATAGGCTTTTAAAGTAAGACCTGATGATTTTTTGAATTTCCTTCATTTATGTTGTTATGTCTCCCTTTTCATTTCTGATTTTGTTAATTTGATACTCCCTGTGGGCCTTTAAGTTTGTCTGTCTAATGGTTTATCAATCTTGTTGATTCTCTCAAAGAACCAGCTTGTGGTTTTGTTGATTCTTTGTTTTGATTTGGTTGATTTGGGCCCTGAGTTTGATTATTTCTTGCCATTTACTCCTCTTGAGGATGTTTCCTTCTTTTTGTTCTAGAGCACTCAGGTGTGCTGTTAAGTTGCTAGCGTAGGATTTCTCTAATTTCTTTACATTAGTGCTATGAATTTTCCTCTTATAACTGCTTTCTTTGTTTCCAATAAGTTTGGGTATGCTGTGTCCTCATTTTCATTGAACAACAGGAAGTCTTTAATTTCTTTCTTTCTTCCTTCCTTTCTTTCTTTCTTTCTTTCTTTCTTTCTTTCTTTCTTTCTTTCTTTCCTGGCCAATTCCTAAATTCATCTGGAAAAGCAAAACAGGAAAAAAAAAAGCAAAAACAAAAACAAGAAATAACAAAAAACCCCAAAAAACAAATTAGTGAAAACAATTATTAACAATAAAAAGACATCTGAGTGAATCACCATCCCTGATCTAAAGCTATAATACACAGCAAGAGTGATAAAAATGCATAGTATTGGTACAGAGACAGACACGTAGATCAATGGAATAGTATTGAAAACCAAGAAATAAAACCACACACTTCTGACACTAGATCTTTGACAAAGAAGCCAAAAATATACAAAGGAAAAAAGAAAGCATCTTCAATAAATGAGTCTTCCAGAGTAGGGAGGGTGAAACAAATCCACCCATAAAATCCTTCAACCCCAATTTGTCTTGACTAAACATGTAGACACAAAGATGGAGCAGAGACAAAGGGAACAAACAAACAATGATTGCACCATATTAAAACACATCCCATGTAAGAGATCCATCTCCTGACACTACTAATGATACTCTGCTATGCTTACAGACAGGAACATAGCATACTTGTTTCCTGAGAGCACATCCAGAAAGCAGATGGAGGTGGATGCAGATATCCACAGCCACACATCAGGCTGAGCCCAGAAAGTCTTGTGGAACAGTGAGGCATAGAAAGGAGCAGCGGTCAAGGACACCACATGAAAACCCAGAGTCAAATAACCTGAGAACATGGGGGATCACATAGCCTTGTACACCAACCAGGAGCATGCAGGAGCTGCACCTAGATCCACACAGTTGTAGCAACTGTACAACTTAGTCTTAATGTGTGTCACCGAATAATTGAAGAGGAGCTGTCTCAGTACTGACTCACTGCTATTGGATCCTTTTTTCCTATCTGTACAGCCAAGTGCACCTCAGTGGTCAAGTGTATCCCTAGTCCTTTCGAAACCAGATGTAACTGATAAGTGTCATGTCAAACAGCATAACAAAGACTTGAAAAGACAAACAATGTCTGTTTCTGTCATAAACAGAACATTCATGTGCATCAGGAGCTCTGGCTTCTGTTTTTTAGCTTTTGGACCTAGAAGAGGAACCCTGGGAAGAAGACACATCTTAAGTGTGGAAAAAGGAGGATCAAGGACAAGGGAATATTGATGATGTGAAAGAAGAGGTGAGGTGTGGAGAGATGAAGGGGAAGAGGAGTATGGAAACCAGAGAACTGGTTAAATAGGAAAAAATCATCCTAAAAGTTAATTATAAACCCAGTTTGTACTAATTATATTAATTAGGGAAAATGAAAGCTAGCCTAACAAAACATAAAGACAGTCACATGTTACCTGGTGCAAAGAAGCAAAAGGAAACTGTGGAGAAATTAAAAGGAATAAATGGAGAACATTAGGATGAAAAGCATCTGAATTGACTTCAGAGAAAATTGTAGCAAACTCTGAGTGGTAGATAGACAGGGACCTGGTGTGTCTTGGGAACCTTAAAAGAACTGAGGACAGCATTCTGTCATGAATAAGTGAAATTCAAAAAAAATTGTAACAAAGAATGATCTCTGCTACCATAACATTGCAAATATTATGTTGTTCAAGGGCCATACTAAGGAAATCAGTGAGCACCTCAGACAGTGGGAAAGACTAAGCACATATCTAGAAACACCATTATGTGTGGTGCTATGTAATTACACATTGATACTAAGAAATTAGAATATGGAAACAAAGCATGTTCTGTGCACATACACAAAGGGGAACTAAATGAAATCTGGTAAAATTTTAACCAAAAACATTTGAGTATGAACCTGCCATACTTTGTCAGTCTCTGTAACTAGCAGAGACGTCTTTGATGTCTTATATCTGCTATGAAGACTGCCTCAGGCCCATGCCCAACTCCAGAGCACACTAGAGCAGGAAGGCATGCAAATAAGGCTTCTCTGTGTCTGTGAAAACCAGCCCTGCCTTTACCCTGCAGCTCTGGCAGGAGAACCTAGCCCTGATCAGCACTAAACACAGACCACTCACCATGTACTTCAGGCTCAGCTGGGTTTTCCTGCTCTTTATTTTGAAAGGTAACTTATAGAAATAAGATTCAGTACACATGAGAAATAGAAAAAAAGTGTTTTCTTTCTTTGTTTAGTTTTGTTAGTGACAGTTTTCTGACCAGCATTCTCTGTTTACAGGTGCCCAATGTGAGGTGCAGCTGGTGGAATCTGGCGGAGGCTTAGTGCAGCCTGGAAAGTCTCTGAAAATCTCCTGTGTAGCCTCTGGATTCACTTTCAGTGATTACTACATGGCCTGGGTTCGCCAGGCTCCAGAGAAGGGTCTAGAATGGGTTGCAAGCATTAGTGATGGTGGTGGTTATACCTACTATCCAGACACTTTGAAAGGCCGATTCACCATCTCAAGAGACAATGCAAAGAACATGCTATACCTTCAGATGAACAATCTGAAGTCTGAGGACACAGCCATGTATTACTGTGCAAGCTACACAGTGAGTGAATGTCACTGTGAGCTCAAACACAAACCTCCTGCAGGGCACTCAGAACCAGCAGGGGGCGATGAAAGCACACAGAGATCTAATCAACAAGCATTCTACCCTGTTCAGAAAGTCCTGAAGGGAACAGAGGACTGAACTCCTCTGTCTCTGGGCTTCCTCTATAAAAGTATTCTCTCTACAAGTATAGTGTATAGAGCCATGGAAATTCTCTAGAGCCTCATTTCAGTGTCATATTCTATTAAACTTCTTGTTTATTCACACACTAGAAGAATGTTTAAGCGGTTCTACAACAATATATAATAAGAACAAATATTTGAGCTGATATTTATCAAGAAATACTCAATGGAACACTGTGTAGGTGAGGACAGCCAGCGAGATTTTGTAATGTATTATTTCTCTTATGACTGCTGTTTTAGTAGCATTTTTACTGTTTACCAAAATGATGTCTGAGATCAACTGTATTCATCTTCTCTTACATGAAGTTTTCAAACACATGTCCACAATGTAATGATGACGTGATTACCATTCTGAATGCTAACTCATAAGATTTACTCTCCATATATGAAGAACATCATATGCTCTTATTAACTGTGGCCAACATCAACACATGTTATGGAAATAATCCTTCTCATCTAAATCATTAGCCTTATTATTCTACACTGTTCAAGTTATGATACGGCTGTACTAATTTTATGTTACCTCAGATCAGGTTTTCTGTTCCACTTGGATCATGGTTTCCATTGATAAAGTGTCCTGGAGGACACTTTATCTAAATCTTTTCAGGACAATCTCATTGAACTCTGCTTCAAACTCTCACATCCCCATGGTTTTTTTTTCCTATGTGTTGTCAGCATGTACTTGTCCATAGGTAAAAGTGGAACTAGAACAATATAATTTTTTAAAAAAAAAATATGGCTATAAATTAGGTGTCCTGGAAGGCTGTATTTCAACTTCATACAAGAGAAGGTAATCAGTGAGGAAGCCTCAACTGAGAAAATGTCTCCACAAAATCAGGCTGTAAAGAAGCCTCTAAGATACTTTCTTAATTAATGATGGAAACAGAAGGGCTTAGCCTATTATGGGTGACACCCCCCCCAGGCCAGGTATTCTGAAATCCATAAGAAAGCAAGCTGACCAGGCAATGCAGAGGAAACTCTTCTTAATTCCATGTCCTCCACAAGCTTCTTGTAGAAAACATAGCCCAGATAACATCAGAATTTTAAAAAGTGAATTAAACATATGTTTTCCTACCTCAAAGCTCCAAATTAGAAGTATACCTTCCCATTTAAAATTAAGCAAAAGTCTCTTACAGGTGTGCTCTCCGTTTTTGGTTTTTACTCAGGTTGAAGAAAAAAATAGCCATCACAGTGGATGTATAAAAATATCCACATATTAATATTTATAGTGTGATGAGTTTTCAAGTGAGTAAATAGCCATGAATCTCCTGTAGTGTAAGATTACAAAACAGACACACTGCTTCCCAAAGCCGATATAAATACTCCACCTTCTGATTGTTTCAGCCATTTTAGGTCATGTGTACTGACACTGCCCATGCCTTCTGTACGATTTGAACCATTGCTAATTGGATACTGGCTGCTTCCCTTAAAACACAGGTTGACTCAATTTTTCTCTTGGAAGCAGAATCTCCAGATGCTATTGCTTCCATACTCATGATTGTTTTCCTGCAGGCTCTCTCTTTCAACCTTCCTGTGTATTCAAGGGTGGGGAATCTCTACTATACAGCATCATTGTATATGCCACTGTCTTAAAACCCAGCAAATACTTTGTGTGTTAATTAAATTTATTATTAAAAGATATATAAAATGTAAATATCGTAAATGGTGCTACCCTCCATCTATCTGGACTGACCATAGGCCTGGGAGGATCAGGTAAATACACTTACAATTAGTCAGTACTCCTCACCAATAGGAAATCACCAAATATTTATATACACTTCTATCTAGTATTTGGACTTCTTTTCCTGGAATTGTTACTTCAGGACTACTCAAATTCCAACCACAGACTACCAGGAGCCTTCTACTTGTCCAAAAAAGGTAGGAGAAGGAGACCAATATAATGACCTTGCACCTTCAAGTCCCTGAACACCTCTCCTAAGATATAACTCAAAGCCCCACCTACAACTTACCCAATATTCCATGACTCTTTTTCCAGCCTCTGCTCGTCAGCACACTCTACAGTCATGCTTTCCCCATTCCCAGGATATTCCAATTGTCTCATGTGGCCAGAATATCCAAATACTGACATTGACCTCATTCTATCCTCTATCCTCTTGAGACTTCCCAAAAAATATCTCTTACTCTGTACCTCTTCTTCTGGTTCATCTCCAACCCAAATTCCACAAATCCCTGCTAACTAACTGAAAGATAGATATCAGCTGTTCCTGATAGCTAGGAGACTGATGAGATGACCTCACTAATACTTACAGTACTTATTGTTCACTAAGCACCTATCTCTCTCCCTGTGTTCTCTCTCTCTCTCTCTCTCTCTCTCTCTCTTTCTTTCTCTGTTTGTGTGTTCCCCCCCATCTATCTTCCATGTCTGTGTTTGTCCTGGGGCCATGTGAGAGATTCTCCCTCTCCAGAAAATTTCTTTTTGCAAGAGCCAAGGCCCAGAATTCATCAGCCCTATCTATACCAGGGTTTTGGATGAATTTTTTCCTTAGGTGTGTTTATGTAGACAACAGCCACGTTCATGGCTTTGATAGGCAAACCTTGTTCGCAAGTTGGCATCTCACAGAGCAGTTCCACATGATTTACCTCTTACATTCTTTCCATGTCCTCTCTGTGAGTGTTCTCTGATCCTTGGGGGAACATAGATGAAACTGGATATCTCTGTCATAGAACAATATGAAGATTGGGAAGGAAAAACACTGTTTCTTCCATGTGCAGAACATAGATTCTGTGTGTCTGAGATGGTCTTTGTATGGTACATTGGTTTTGTAGATTAGAAAGCTAGAGTGGGAGTCCTAGAAGAAAAAGAACTATTGAATGAGAGGAAAATGGGACCAAAGGCAGGGTTGTATTGTAATGTGAAACAAATGATAAAAATTCATTGAAGAGTCCTTTAATTATTAGTTATGCTAATTTAAGAAAATAAAATCTACCCTAAAACAACATAAGGACAATTGTCTGGTGTAATGATGGAAGACAACAAGAGGGGAGGGGATTTAAAAGGTATCAAAAGGAGAACTTCAGGTCACAAGACAACAGTTTGATGAAAATAAAAGTATTTCTTCCTAGCAAACACTGAGCAGTAATCAAGACAGTGAGAAAGGATGTCATATTTGCACGCCTTTATAAGGCCTGAGGACAGTTTTATTTCAGAAATAAATAAAATTCAAAAAGTCCCAAGTTTCCCCATCACAAAGAAGGTGTTTGGATATCATCTATAGGCAGATGTGGCACTGTCTATGAGCTTCATCAGAAAGAGGTCATGTCCATCTGAGACAGTGGAATAGGCTGAGCTCCTATACAGAAACACAACTATGTGTGGTGCTTCTTTGATTTCCCTAATGAGACAATAATATATACATGGCAACAGGATATATATATGTGTGTGTGTGTGTGTGTGTGTGTGTGTGTGTGTGTGTGTGTGTGTGTGTCTGTGTGTGTGTGTCTGTGTGTGTGTGTCTGTGTGTGTGTGTGTGGTGTGTGTGGGTGTGTATCTGTGTATGTGTTTGTGGGTGGAGAGGTATGTGAACATGGTGACATACAAGGCCTTCCAGTGTCAATCAGCACCACATTTTTCAGACATGTTCTCTCACTGGCCATTAATACTTGAGTTGGTTAGACTCATTGGCCAGAGATCTCCTACTGATGTTCCCTCCATTTCCCAGAAGTCAGATTAATGTTTGGAGTCACACTTCCCTCTCTTGCTACCCATGGAAATCCAAGCTAAGTCATCATTCAAACATTTTTTGTTTGTCATGAAGGTTAACCACACAAATATCTCTATAGGCCCACTATATGTATCTTTTAAATGTAGCATTTACCCAGAAATTAACAGAGCATCACAGAGGGCAGAAATTACTGATTTAGAGAACAGTGTCATATACAGAAGTAAAGGAACATGAAGAGTGGGGAACCATGGCATCTTAGAGGAAACTCAGTTAGGTTCCTCATTTAGGGGTTTGTGTGCAATCAAGTTATAGCCAGGGAGGAATTCAGAAAGGGTCAGTTAACCAATAACACACATGAACTTAACTCTCACCAACCTTCTCACACAATCCATGCACCTTACACAGCTCCCAAATGGGATATACTGAACATAATCCCTGAAGAATATTCTTCTATATAAACCGGAGGAGTAGAGCCCTCATAGTGGTGTGTACCCATCAGAAGTTGCACAGGATGGCTGTCTCACCAATGCCAAGGCCTGTTGCCATCACTCCCACTCACAGTACAAAGATTATGCATAATGAAATAAAGGACACAAAACTTGAGGTCCCCTGTGACCAAAAGGCAGACAGATATTTTCTGGTTGCCGAAAGAACAGGTTGTTTCCAGCTCTCCAATTCCTCCTCTGGTGATGTCAATTACCACTGGAGAAAAGCACTACAGTGTCTGGTTCTCTATGGTCATTAACTCCTCAAGGCACAAGGTCCCTGTGTTCACCCCTGCCCTCTGCTCAACATCTCCTCATCACTTAGGAATCTCTGGTTCATTCATTAATTCATAGACATGACCTTCAATCCTGGTTGCATAGACCACTATGACCTGTTACAAACAGCAGATCATTCAGTCCTACACCAATACAGAAATATATTTAGGAACCTGAGGTTTTTGTGTGCTACAAGATGAACAGATTCTAGTGTAAATAATTCAAAAACACACTTCTCATTTGATTAAAATACTGTATTTGAGTCAACACTATTCATTGTATCTTCTTACCTCAAAGACCCAGAAGAGATGTATATCTTCTCACATAAAATTAAGCATAAGTCTCTAACATATGTGTTCTCCCTTTTTGGTTTTTAGTTAAACTGACAACATAAAATACACATCACCTTCTGGTCTTCACTTATGACCTGGAGCTAAGGCTGCCCCACAGCCCTCCATTCACAAATCCCACCAGGTCTCCCAGGAGTCTCTGGTTTATTCATTAATTCATTGACATAATCCTCAAGCCTGGTTGCATAGACCACTATGACCTGTTACACACAGCAGACCATTCAGTCCTACACCAATACAGAAACATATGTAGGAACCTGAGGTTTTATGTGCTACAAGATGAACAGAGACTAAAAGAGGCATAAAAAAGTACACAGAGATACTAAACACATGAAATCACATATACTAAAAGTTTTACAGAACTCCATCATGAGTGATATTTTCCAGATGAGTGATTGGAATAAGACTAACTATTCTGAAGCAAAAGACAAAATTTTTAAGTAATTTTTTAACAGGATTTCCAATAATAAGAGAACCAATTACATCCTAAATGGTCTCCTGGAATGTACAAAGCTATAAAAATTCTTGAAGGTTAAGGTACCTTATTGTATCTGCATTGTATGAATGTGGACTCACTTACAGTAAACATCCCAATGTTTGCTTCCAAGGCCTGAATACTGGGAATCATTCAATTTTTGCTTATCTGGATTTGGAAATCCAGACTGATTGAGGAAAAAAAAATGTTCATGAGACTACATTTCTATTTTCTCTAAAAGCACAAGGCAAGTCTCAGGCACCTGAGGAAAAAATGGAAACCTTGCTGAGTGCTAACACTCCTCCATTGCTGGTGGTATTGTAAGCTTGTACAACCACTCTGGAAATCAGTCTGGTGGTTCCTCAGAAAATTGGACATAATCTTACCTGAGGACCCAGCTATACCACTCCTGGGCATATACCCAAAAGATGCTCCAACATATAACAAGGACACACGCTTCAGTATGTTTATAGCAGCCATATTTGTAAAAGCCAGAATCTGGAAACAACCCAGATGTCCCTTAACAAAGAAATAGATACTGAAAATGTGCTTCATTTACACAATGGAGTACTACACAGCTAATAAAAACAATGACTTCATGAAATTTGTAGGCAAATGGATGGATCTAGAAAATATTATCTTGAGTGAAATTATTCAGTCACAAAAGAACACACATGGTATGTACTCACTGATAAGTGGATATTAGGCAAAGAGCATGGAATAGCCATGATACAACTCAAGGGCCACATGAAACTCAAAAGGAAGTAAGACCAAAGAGTGGTTGTTTCAGTCCTACTTAAAAGGGGGAACAAAATAATCAAGAGAAGTAGAGTTGGGAGGGACTTTGGAGGAAGAGAAGAGGGGGAGGGGCAACACATGGGCAGAATCATGTATGGGAGGAGATGGAGATGTACAGAGGTTCAGGAAATTGAACAGAGGGGCGTAGCAATGGGGGATGGGGAACTGGGGTTAGCAACCAGAAAGTCCAGATGCCAGGAAAGCAAGAGCCTCCCAGGACCCCATGGGGATGATATTAGCTGAAATACTCCACAAAGGGGAGGGAGAGCCTGTTGAGACCATATCCAGAGGTTAAGCATCGCCCCCCAGATAAGGTATGGGGCCACCCATCCATCTCCAAAATTTTAACCCAGACTTGCTCCAGTCTAAAGGAATACTGGGACAAAGAGTGGAACAGAGACTAAAGGAAAGGCCATCCAGAGATTGCCCCACCTTAAGATCCATCCCACATGTAAACATCAAACCCAGACACTATTGCAGATGCCAAGAAGTGTTACTGACAGGATCCTGATACAGCTATCTCCTGAGAGGCTTTTCCAGATCCTGTCCAATACAGATGTGGATTCTCACAGCTGACCATCAGACTGACACCCCAATGGAAGAATTAGGGGAAGGACTGAATGAGCTGAAGGAGCCTTACCTGACATCAATGGTACGGGAAGTCTTTCATCCTGTGAAGGCTTCATGCCCCAGTATAAAGGAATTCTAGGGTGGTGATGTGGGAGTGGGTGGTTGGATGGTGGAAGTACCCGCAAAGAAGCAGGGTAAGGGAGATGGAATACAGGGGTTGCAGAGGGGAAACTGAGAAAGGGGATAACATTTGAAACGTAAGTTAAAAATCCAATTAGAAACTAGAGTAAGATAAAACAAGCAATTCATGCTAAACTGAATCAGTGCATACATCGGTGGCCTATGTCTGTTCGTAGCCTGGTGCATAGCCCAAGGGGAAAAAAAACGAAATGAAACAAAAAAAACCCTCACATCCAGATCCCCATTTTTTAATGGGAGACCCCAGATTGCTGCTGGACTTCTGTAGAATAGAACACTCTTTGTGTTTACATACTATTTGAGTCCTGGGTATCATTCCTCTGTGAAACATGAACCCTTATAACTTATAAGTATACATAGTGTTCTCTTGGACAGACATCTTTCTTCCCTCCATCCTCTAACTGGGATTTTTCCTTTAGGTCAGTGCATGGGGGCAGAAGAGGTTGAATAAAGCCAACATCTCCACTCACCAGGGAAATAAATTATAAATGATAGACTGTCTCATAATCAATGTGATGAGAGCAATTGATGAAGGAGAAAAGAGTGAGAGGGCTGTGTGGTTGGGGATGAAGGGTTTCCTGTTCCTTATCAACATGAACATGGTCCTGTATGACACTGGCAAATAATGTTGAGGATTCCAGGGAATTACAAATGAAGACCACATCACTCAGCTTTCTTGTATCTGGGTGTGTACTGATGACAGGAAATGACGCTCTCCTTTAAAATAGATTTTTGCATTTCTGTGTACATTTTCTGATTTCATAATTGCACCGTACATCACTGCTGGATTCCCTATGGGAAATGCTGAGGTGTGAAGACACATAAAAGCACCCTTACTGAATGTTGCTTGAAGCTCACTATGGTCTTTATCTATGTGTCACCAGCATGGAAGCTGTCCTTGAGTTAAACTAGGGACAGAAGTTATATCTTACAAAATGTTTTTAAAAATGTATTGAGGTACTATGTACATTCAAAAATGTCTACTTACTAGCATGTGTCCTACTGAATTTTTATGTGGGCAAACACCCATTAAACCACTATAGGGTAAGACAGAAAAACATTGCTTCCCTGAAGTTCTTGTCAATATTCCCTTTGTGTGGTCATGCGAGCCTGAATGGGGCACATGTACTGACAATCTGTATGACTTCTGGACAAGTTCTCCTGACCTTTTCCTCAGATATTGGAAAGAACTTGACTGGATTTTTCTAACGTAAGCAGACTCCCCTTGTCTGTCTCTTTGCTAAACTCAAGATTGATTTTTTCCAGTCTTTGCTTTCACAGGGCCAGTGTCTTCAATGATTGGGGGTATAGTGTATGCAGCATCATAGTACTGTACTGTCTTGAAACTTCTCAGTAATTTCATGCCTTTCACAAGGGCCACCATGCCTACCTGTTTATATCATATTTAGCAGGGTTTTCCTTAAGCACCTTTTTTGATGATTCATTGAATTAAATTACTCAGACATTCAGTAGGTACTATTTTTCTCCCTTTCTAGGAATTTTATATTAGATTGATAACATTTCTAAGCTGTTGTCCTCTTCATGCACATTTCTTCAACAAAATAACCTCTCAATTTCATGGCTTTTTAAAGTCAATTTAATGTGGTCCATATGTACATGTATGTGAAGGCAAGACCAGAGCATAGAAAAACTACAGTGATCACATTTTCAAAAAATAAATTCTCCCTCTCCAGAAATATCTATATCCCACAACTCTCATGAACAGGTAAGATCTGGAAATAATCTACAAAGTCCACAGAGGTTATGATTGTCTTGGTTTCAAGGTAGGGCTTACACAGACAGCAGCCATTTTGAGTGCCTGATGTGATAGGCATGTCTTGTCCACACGACATTACTTCACAGTGCTCTTCCACATGCTTCACCTCTTACACTCTTTCCACCTCCTCTTGCTAAGTGTTCTCTGAGCCTTGGAGGCATTTAAATGGGACTGGAAAATGTTATGTCAAACAATATGACAAAGGCTTAAACGGACAAACAATGCGTGTATCTGTCGTGAGCAGAACCTTCATTGTGTGTCACAGCTTAAGATTCTATTTTGTAGCTTTTGAAAATAGAACAAGAATCTTAGGACACGGATTCATCTTAAGTGTGGGACAAAGAGGACCAAGGACAAGGGAACATTGAGGAGGAATATAAGAGGAGGATGGAAACCAGAGAACTGGTTAAATCAAAGAGAGTCATCCTAAAATTTAATTAAGCATCCCATTTATACTAATTATGTAAATAGAGGAGATGAAAACTAGACTAACACAACATAAACACAGTCACCTGTTACCTGATGTAAAAGAAAATGGTGGATGAGGGACTTAAAAGGAAGAGATAAAGGAGAACTTCAGGATGCAAAACAAGTTTGCTGCAAATAGAAATATGTCTCATCTTAGACAAACAGAGACTTGGAATTCCTCACGAGCAAAGAATCTCTAAATCCTGAGGACAGCATTCTATCATGAATAAATAAAATTTAGAAAATTCCCAAGTGTTTCTGTTGCAGAGAATGAGATGTGCTACAATCACCTCATAGGTGGGACCCTCTACAAAAGCCACGTTAAGGAAAAGCCATCTCCTGCCCAGGCAGGGGAAAAGACTGAGCTCATATCTAGAAACATAGTTATGTGTGGTGCTACTGAATTACACACCTATACTAAGGAAACATGACAGTATGGAAACAAAACATGTTCTGTGCTCACGTACAGAGGGAAACTAAGCAAAATATGGTGAATCCTTAACCAAAAGAAAAAATGAAACTACAATATTTTATCAAATGCTGTAACTGAAACCTAGGTCTTTGATGCCTTATATCTGCTATGATCAGTGGCTTTTGTCTAGGTTCAACTCCAGAGCATGACATAGCAGGAAGACATGCAAATAAGTCTTCTCTGTGTCCATGAAAAACACCTCGGACCCTGACCCTGCAGCTCTGACAGAGGAGCACAGCCCTGGATCAGCACTGAACACAGACCGTTCATCATGAACTTCAGGCTCAGCTTGGTTTTCCTTGTCCTTATTTTAAAAGGTAATTTATTGAGATGAGGTCCCATCTGTTGTGTACACGAGAAACAGAAAAATTGTTTTGTTTGTTTTGTTTTGTTAGTGACAGTTTTCCAACCTGTATTCTCTGTTTGCAGGTGTCCAGTGTGAGGTGAAGCTGGTGGAGTCTGGGGGAGGCTTAATGCAGCCTGGAAGCACCCTGAAACTCTCTTGTGCAGCCTCTGGATTCACTTTCAGTAACCACTGGATGTCCTGGATCCGGCAGGCTCCAGAAAAGGGGTTGGAGTGGTTGGCAGACATTAATAGTGGTGGTAGTACTATCTACTATGCAGACATTGTGAAAGGCCGATTCACCATCTCCAGAGACAATGCCGAGAACACTCTGCACCTGCAAATGAGCACTCTGAGGTCTGAGGACACAGCCATGTATTACTGTGCAAGAGGCACAGTGAGCAAATGTTATTGTGAGCTCAAACATAAACCTCCTGCCGGGCACCCAGGACCAGCAGGGGGCACTGAGAGCACACAGTGTTCTGTGTCACAGAGAGTTACAGCCTGTTCATTTGTCCTGGAGGATTGATATTCTCACCCTTCAACCCACCTTAAAATATTTGATCCAAAATTGTCCCAGTCTAAAAGAAATGCAGGAACAAAAATAGAGCAGAAATTGAAGGAATGGCCAAACAGACACCAGCCCAACTTGGGATCTATCTAATGGGCAGGCACCAAACACTGACACTATCACTGATGCTATGTTGTGCTTGCAGATGGGAGACTAGAATGGCTGACCTCTGAGAGGCTTTACCAGCAGCTGACTGAGACAGATGCAGATACTTAGTCAACTATTAGACTGAGTTCGGGGACCACCATGGAAGAGTTAGACTAAGGAATGAAAGATCTGCAGGGGATGGCGACTCCATAGGAAGAACAACAGTGTCAAATAACCTGGACCCCTGGGAGCTCCCAGAGACTAAGACACCAACCAAAGAGCATACACTAGGTGGTCTGAGGTCCCTGACACATATGTAGCAGAGGAGTGCCTTGTCTGGACTCAGTAAGAGATGGTGAGCATAATCCTATAGAGACTTGATTCCCCAGAGAAGGGGGATGCAGAGAGGGAGAACCTCTCAAAGGTGAAAAGAATTGGGGATGGAGGAACAAATCTAGGAAGTGGAACTGGGTGGGGGCAACATACTGGATTTAATTAATTTATTAATTAAAAGGAGGTAATAGAGGGCTGAATTCCCCTGTGCCTGGCTTGCAGCTCTAAAAGGCTTGTCTCTAAAAGTATAGTTTACAGTAACCCTTGACATGTACAAATGTTTATTCATCTTTCTATTTTCCTGCATTATATCAATTTATTTATGTATTTATTTATTTATATTATTCCTCTCTGTGACTTTCTGTAGGCCTGTCTGTATTTATCTCTACGTCTCTTTGTTGCTCTGTTTCTGTCTCTTTGTCTCTCTCTACCTCTGTATCTCTGTCTCTTTGTCTCTCTTGATGTGTGTGTGTGTGTGTACATGTTGAGATGAGATATCTTCTTCTATCAATGTACACAATAACTTTGATATAAACTCCATCACTCTGCCTAGATCTCACTGTCTTGCTAAATTGGTTGGCCAGTGAATCCCAACCATCACACTGTCTCCACATCTAAGAAGTGGGCTTACTGACTGACTATCAAACCTACCTCTTTCTGTAGCTATGTATATTAAACACAGATCCTTCTATTGGTGTGGTAAGAACTTAAAGCACAGAGCTACATCTACAGCCCCATTAAAGACATCTTAAATGTAGGATAAATCAGGTTTGAACAAAATGAAGAGTATCATACAAGGCAGAAGTGAATCTGTATGAGGACCAGGATCAGTTCCTGAAGAACCAAAGAACCTTTGAGACTGTGGAACACGAGAGTCATGTCAGAGACTCAGTAAGATTCGTTTCATAGAGCATTATGTAGGAGTCAAGTGGGAATCAGACAGGGCCTGTGACCGTGTACAAGAGGACTTTCAGTCTCTCTTTCACCCTCACACAAACCATATGCGACAAACCCAGCACTGACCCAGCTGTGGTGCTGGTAACAAAATGTATGTGAAGCTCCAGCACTGAGACAGGAGGCCAGTGTAGCTACTGACACACACTGATCTGCAAACTACTCCTAACCCACTCAAGGGATGACATCTTTCTTTCTCTTTACTTGTATGCTTTACTTGGTATAGTTCTCCAAGAATTTGATAGGACAAGTCATTTTTCCTTTTAACACATTCATCACTTTTCCTTCCCCTAGGCTTCTAAGGCTCTTCTTTACACTATTGTCCCAGAAACATGATGTAAAGGATGGTTGGCTCATTCTGAGTCGGTGTTCCTCATCAAAAGAAGTCAGTTGTGGCACTTAGAACCTAAATATAATACACTTCTTAATGCCATTCTGGGATCATATTGATGTTATCACTATAAAAGAGTAGGACTGTCCATGACCATATCACCCTGAATGCACCAGATCTCTTCTAAATGAGTAGGAGAGTATTGGACAAAGGGGATGATGATTGTTCAATCAAAGCATGATGTGACCTGAGAAACAATCTAAGACCTAAGAAACAGTCTAAGTTTGTCAGATTGTCATGGAGCTGTGTTGCCTGTAATAATAGCATAGCTAGGAAGGCAACACATTGCTTTCCTGTGAATTCTGGAGACATAAAAGGAACCGTCTCTGTTTTCCTGGGTTTACCAAGTTGCCAGAGATATAGAAGATACTGGCAGGAACCAACATAGATGCTTCTACAAAGTGATTCTACATTCTCTGTCCTGCTCTGCCATTATCAGGTCCATTCTCCTGTATGAGGACACTGTTTCTGCAAGAGAGAAGAGGCTTTAACACCATGCCCACAAGAAATTCCCAGCCATAACTGCACTAGTGAATGACTGGTTGACTTGAAACTGTGGTCTGAACAAACTGATGATGCCTGAGACTGACAATTTTTCTGATTTCATCTCAGTGTCCAATGCAACTTGATTAGCGATTTCTAACAGTTTGGTAATTGATGTCTTCTTATAGACAAACATCAAAGTTCTTATAATTTCTGTATATTTATGAAGTATATATGAATATGTGCACAGCAATGGGGAACCACAGAGCACAGGGTGGAAGTTTGCAATTGAAGAGAGGAATCAAATGTCACTAAATCCCTGCATTTCCATAAGAGCTACAGCAATGCCTGAGCCGTGTTCAATGTATAGAACATCACCACTGCCCCCATCTCACTGCCATGAATATGTCCCCTTTAATCTCATTCACTGGCCAAAGGAGTGCTAGAATGTGGGCTTATCACAAATGTTTACTTCACTCTGTTTCCCAGTGGTCATCTCAGTTCACTCTGGATCATTTTTGACAATTTCCTATTTGCATAAATAGGAAGCATCAACATGGTGTCATGTAATGAGATTATCTTAAAGTATATACTCAGACTACGTGAGGAGTGCAAGAGTTTGTGTTGCTTACCTTCAGATACATGAACAGAGTGATGAACTAAATACAGAATGTTTTTTATTGTTCCTTCATGTTCTGTGCACACCCAGGGATGCCCAGCCAAGGTTAGAAACATGTACCTGATGATGAAGGAGGCTCTTGCAGTGTCCACACTCTCAGATCACTTGCTGTCAAATTATACCAGAGGGTTCTATATAGTCTTATGTAACACACCAGGTAAAATATAATGTCAGTCAAATATGAAAACTGTGTGCAACATCCAGGAATACAGCAGTCAGGACCACGGGGATGTAGCACTGCAGTCCAGCCTACTTTAGTCTCACATCTTTTCCTGTGGGTTTCGTAGAGTGCACACATGTTTAGAACACTCTCAATATTATACACTGATCCTAATGGATCAGCTCTTGCCTCTAGTTTCCTGACTTATTTGAGTTCCTGTCTGAATTTTTTTTGAATGAGCAGCAATGTAGAAGTAATGGTCAAATAAACACATTCACCTCAATTTCCTTTGCCATGCTGTTTCATCATAGCAACAGTAACCCACAGTAAGACCCCTGGTTTTCTTGCAGACAGGATGTAGAACTTCTATAGAATATAGAACTTTTGGTGAAATCCCAGACTTGGAGCCTTTATCTGACCATTGTCCCAGTTATGTCATGTCCACCAACAGAATGTACTTTTCGTTTTCAGTAATTTTACAAAGGGACATGATGTATGGATCTTCAAAAAGACAAAATGAAACCCATATGAAAGGTCTGCCTTCTGTAAGGAAAGTATGCATCCTGGAGGCAAACAAAAGAAAGAGAAGAGGACGTTGGGTAATGGAAGAGTGGCTAATGCAGGGAGATCAGAAAGCTGAATGTCTCTAAGTTTTTTTTTTGTTTTATTATCTGTGAGGTACATCAAGGTAAGGTAGGAATCCTGACCCAACCAGCCTCCCTGTTCTCTTCTGTTCCAGTCTCGCTGCTCATATCTTATCTCACTGAATAAGAAGCTACAAGATGTCCATCCAGATAACAGCTATCACAGTCTTTGGATTCTCATTACACAAGCCATAGATATGAGTCATAGTCCAGTGTGCAGTGAACAGGCCTCACATCAGTGGACTTTATTTCTTCTGTGTGAAGAAACTAGCAAGGACAAATCAGCCTGTCACCCTATACTATAGAAAGTATCCTCAGCGCTTCCCTGGAATGAGGTCTCTCGAAAGATGATCAGGGCACTCTCCATTTGTGAGAACATTTCTGTGACCTGTTGCTCCCATACAGAGATTGGTTCCCACTTCTTCATAATAATTAAGCATTGTAAAGCACTGTTTATAGAATCTAAAGTTCAGCATTTGAGATTTCTACTGAAGATTTATCTTGCTGGTGGATATGCTTAAATGTAGCTATTCACTCATTCTATCTCTGATATTCTCATAACTGATAGAATATTGTAATCCTATCCAAGCTCTGATATTTATGTAGTTATCTTTTGACATTCACAACCTAAAACCTGTGCTTCATAAGATAGGCACTATTTTTTTTTCATGGGACCTTTGCTTCGACAAGACAGCCCATTTGTACATAGTTCTGTGATGGCTCTGATGTGTTGTTCTATTGTTCCTATAAACATTGCTGTGATTCCACTATTTCCAAAGGTAGAAAGAAATTCTTCACTCTGTGTCTTACACATGAAATATGTATTCTGAAAAACATTCAGCACTGAAAATTGACAATGATATTGGTCATGATTTCAGAGTTAATAGATCAACAAATATCACATTATGCCTAAACATTTAGAGAAAGTTTTCTATTCTGAATGTGAACTCTCTGGGAAGTTTTAATTAACATCTACCTTGTGAGGTGAATCTGTGGAAGAGGTTAGTAATCTGAAATACCTGATTCTGAAATCAGGATACAATTCAGTGGGATACAGAGAATAAAACTGAATTCCAAGTAGAGTCATGCCTTGTGAATCCATCACAATCTGATGTCAATCTTAATTCATGGTTACACACAGTTTACAATTTAAGGAGATGGAGGAAATGAAAAAGACATAAATTAAACTTTAAATTTTTTTCTAGTCAACGTGTCAGAAAAGAATAT